ACACGCAGGGTGGACAACAGGCAGTTAATGGTGTGAGGTTACTTCAAGAACGCGCAAGCTAATGGGACGCGTAATGGATGCTTCCGGATCCCAACTCAATTTGATTTTCAATGTCGATGCCAGAAATAGCGACACGTCAGAGAATACCTGGGATTAGACATGATGAACGGAAGGTAGATATGTCACAAATGCGTAAATCAGGGTCCGAAAAAAAGAAGTTATTGGGCATGATCCAAATACATGCATTTGCATGGGTGTTGTGCAGTCAAGCGCCAACACCTAAAGACGAAGTAATGGGAGATTAGGAAAATGGGGGGGCCGGGCATTGAACTGGAGAAACGCTGAGGAGAGCGAATGTGATGGAGACAGATGGTAAAAAACACAACCTGGAATGGGCATTGAATGCAGACGAACGAATTATAATGCACTATGTGGCAGGAAGTGAAAGGTGATGAAATCAAATTATAGATGCCAACTTGAAGAAAAGAATGCGTATTTAGATCCACCAGGGCGAAGACCACTACATTACATATTCCGAAGAATTGCGAGCGCCCTTTCATACGTCTCAGGAGTCGCCTGTTTGGTTGTATCAATCACCATCACTGCGCTTTTCTTCCTTGCTTTACCCACTCCACCGCTTGGGCGCGGGCGGGGTGGAAGGTCTTGGTGATCAGGTATTCTTCCGAGAGGTGTGCATTCGGGATCAACCCCTCTTGTGCCTATTCTTGCGTTCGAGCTTGCGCTCACGTCTAAGTAAACACCATTGGTTGCTGTAGTGCCTCGTCTCTTTAAAAGCGACACATTGATGTCAGCCTTGGTCGCTACTGCTGTCGTTGGATCAAGTTTTCGTCTCTCCAGCAAAGTAGTCGCAGCCTTAGCATCTACCGCGCTTTGGCGAACAGCTACACTGGCGAAGCGAGACGACAAATCGGAGACATGGTCGTACGTCAAGTTCACAGGCTCTCCAAAGAACTTCATGAGCTTCGCAGCTCGTCTCCTTCTCACTTGAAATTCTTTAAACTGTTCACGAGACACTGGAGAATCGCCCTCTACGACAGTCACAGAGGACGAAGCTTGTTTGATGTGTCTCTGTGGCGGGAAATCGACTGGCGCTGAGCATGGGCCAATGAACGTTCCTTGACGTTGAAGGCAGGATAGGGATTTAGGAGCAGAGGCACCAGCATCCGGCTCAAGGCCAGCGGAAATTGTTGGGACCTGCGTTATAGGGGTTGAGGATGATCGCCCATGCTGTTGGTAATTTTTCCTCGACGATGATGGATGTGCTCGTATTGTGGGCATCGTTCCCACAGATTGAGGTTCGCATGGGCCTATAGTCGTTGCTCCTCGGCACCTGAGACGTGGCTGGGGTTCGGGAGTAGGGGCATAGGAGTCGGAGTCAATATTGGCAGAAATTGTTGGGACGAGAACTGAAGCGGCCGAGAGAGATCGCCCATGGTAATCTCTCCCACGCGAAGAAAGCACCGTCTCCACAGTTTGGTGTTTGTGTGGATTGGAATGAATACTATATGCAGCGAAAGGCTCGGGTGACGGAGCCTTGGAGGGCCAAGGAAACCGCTCATTTCCCATGTACGTAACCGTCGCTCCTGAGTTTTCCGGTGGAACTTGAGTTTCTGTCGAGGTGGTAGGCGTAGGAGTGCGCAAACAGTGGTATCGCAGAACAAACATGCACGACTCCTCCGAAAAGGCCAGGGTACAAGGGCTCCCCTGATTTTTGTGTGTCTGCGCCGTTGCATCCCCATTGAGCGTCGCCGTATCCACGTTGCCGTCATCTGAAGCGGTCGGTAGCGACGAGGATGTTGTGCTGTCAGCATAGAGACTAAAACAGAGGCTCGATCGAGAGGCCTCGTACGAGTCAGAGTCAAGTTCGATGAAACTTTCGTTATCGTGAGCATCTTTCGGGTCCGCTGATTTAGACTTAGAAATTGGTTGGCACACGTCGGAAGGAGGGATCGCTCCAAAAATCTGTGGCGAACCAACACAACGTCAGGAATAATTGAGTGGCCCAGTTGTAAAATAGCATACCTTGGAGACTTTCGACACCCTCCTAACCAGCTCATTTCTCTCCTTTGTGCTCATCTTCCTCCCACTAACGCCGAGATCAGCAATCTCCGGTATCTCATATTTACGTATTTTCTGTGCCTGATTGGAAAGATCGGTGTCATTGACCGCAGGAACCTTTGACGGCGTCGGTCTTCCACTTGATACTGTCGCTTCTCTGCAACCCTTGATGGATGCGCTGGCAGAAGGCATCAAAGGAATGCTGTCAGAACAACAGGATATTTCCAAATCCTCTGTATCCTGCGTCCTCGATTCCACAATAGGGCCAAACCTCTCCACACTCACGTCTTTGAGCACAAGTTCGTCCGGAACATCTCCACCCAGAATCCTTTTTAATTTGTCGAGTCTGCTTCGAGCTCGGCGGAGTTCGTTCTCAGAGGGAGTAGGCGACGAGGGTGCTGACGGGGAGCTGATGCTGAGGAACGAGACGAACGAGACGGGAGAGGACGGGGGGCGCCCTTGCAATTTAGACTTGGAATCAGACTTGCTGAAATAGGTTTGGGAATGGGATGTAAACTTGGGCGTAGGAGATTGAGAACGGGAGCGAGGCACGGCCGATCGCAGAGAAAGCGGAAACTCTGATGCAACTGCTGTCGACGTCTCGGGAGATGGTGAGACGAAGATCTGAAGGGGCTTCTTCGGTCGCAGTTTCTGTCGTTTCATCCCAACCTGACCCGACCCAGTCCCGATATGATCGATAGGGGGCACGGTCACTCGGATTCCAGGCCCTGCAGAAGTCGATAGAGTGCTTTGTTGAGCATTGATAGAGGCATTAATCAGGCTCTTCGCACCACCGCTACGACAGGATTGCGTCGTTCGTTGCCTAAATAAATCTGTGGCCAATGGTGATACGGGGGGGATAGGTGGTAGCTCAATGCCCGTGCGTGAGGAAAAGGTGAACTGGGGGATGGTTAGTGTCTGGGTTGGGAGCAACAGCTCTCCTTGAGGTTCGAAGCCATCCGACATGTCTGTCCAAATTCCAACGTAGATTTGATATCGCACAAATCAGGCACGGAGTCTGGGAGGTTGAAGCGTCGGGGTTCGAAGGGCTCACAGCCAGCTTCCACAGACGATAGCGAAGGCAACAGCCTGTCTGGCAAGAGGATCAACTGGGGGCAAAACAATGGCCGATAACGGAACAAAAAAAAAAGAAGAATGCCCAGCAAATCCTGGAAAAGCCTTGTTCGCATCACTCCATCATTCGAAACCCGGAGGAACGCATACCCAAACGAATTGCAGTCGGCCGCTTCGTCGTTGACCCCAGTATAGGAGCAGAGGGAGAGAAGCCCTCAACCGTGCAGCTCCCTGATGGCCGTGGCAACCGCCTGTGGACATCTTGCAATAGAAAACTCACGCAATCGAAGGTCCGTTATTCCTTAGGAACTCTCGGCATTGAATTGGCTTGCGGCAAAAATCGTGTAAATTCGGCTTCTGCCGCTCACATTGATATGGTTTTAGAGTGTTTAGACATATGTAGCCTCGCCCCAAATTTGTCGAAATAATTCACCGATTTGATTTGGACGAATACGGAGTTACTCGCCAAATGTAGCAGTGATGAGGCGGCTATCAAATGCGTCAGCGCTAAACTAATTATGTATGTATATATTTGAGTGACTCAGATCCCACCCATTCAGAATGAGCCATTTGTAAGTGGCTTGATTCATCTCGCTCACAAATATTCCCACAAGTCGATCCTTGTATATTCAAGAGTGGGAGATCTGAGGGGAGGCTGCTGTACCAGAGCAGGGAATTACCTTCCAAAACAGTGGGAACTTATCAATGCGGCGAGGGAGATATGGTGGCCGCGGCGCGGACATTGCAGGGCCCTATCAAAGATTCAAACGAGAAACATTTGGAGGTGAGAATATGTAAGAGGGATGTTCACTCGACCTGCTACCATTGTTGTTGTTCGATCCGTATGACTAGGAGCGCCAACGAACACGTGGGAAGCCCTTTGTGTTGATGCACGGGTTAAATGACGGCCGGATGGCCCCCTGTGCGGGGCGCCCACGCCCAAAGCGCTTGGAATGCGGAGACCGCCATCCTTGGTGCATGAAGAGAAAAGAAAAATAATAGAGAGCCGCGTGCGGGCGCTGGTGTACAGGAATTAGTTACAAAGTTGTAGACACAACAGAGGACAAAGTTCAGATTCACCTCAGTCGCACGGTCCAACAATCATGTGTTTTTATAATCAAGCGCTATGGATGTGCACTGACTGTGGCAGCGAGTAATCCAAAATAGGAACAAGAAGGAAACTATAGACTCAACATCAACTTGGCCACAGCGTACGCCTATATTCCAAGAAATCTCATACTTTAAACGCATTGCAGCAATGAAATAGCCACCCCGCTTTCCCATGTCCTGATCACAGGTGCCGAGCCTGTGACGCTGCGGGCGCGGGTTGAATTGACGAACCGTCAAGCAATTTAGTCCAACCAACTTAAGACATGGACAGCAAGTTGGAAATAGTTCATCAACAGTACCCTCGGAACGTAAGGCCACACTGTGAAGCTAGAGTAGAGTAGCTTAGTTAGATATCGAGTCTGCATGCACGGAAGAGAAATGGTGCCAACAAGATAAGTATTCGTGTTCACTCAATGCCAAAAGGAGTTACATACTGTGCATGTCGCATTACACGGAGGGCAACCACTACTTCGAATGATGGGACCCAAGCATCATACGGGCTGATCCACTCACGCCGCTGGGCTGAAACTGGATCGATCGGATTAAAATTCAAAATAAGTTGGGGGGCGCGGCACATGAGCATGTTTTGATGTCAGCCGGAAAGAACTAGGCATCAGCACATTGGCAGTATGGAATCAAAAAATAATTGCCCACATGGTCGCGGACATTCGACGAGGGCCTCATTCAGTGGACCGTTGATTGCAACCGGATGACATTACCCGGAAAGCACGACCGACATGCGGTTCACATCTGAGAAGGGGCAGTAAGTTGGCCACAGGCCTTTCCGGGATCCCCCCGCTTAGCCCTTCAGTCAAGCAAGTGGTTAACAAGGAGGGGGGGGCTCGGTTTGGCGGTAAACCCATCAGGTCTTGTGAGTCACACTGATCGGAACTTAGTTTGAGTGATCAGGAATGCTTCGGACGGCGCCGCCACCCGCGCGATAGGCGGGGAAGCTCACGACAAGAAAGGAGAACAGCACCGTGTTGCATTGAAGAACAGCATTGGACTCAATGCCCGGCACTTGTGAGCGTCACGAAAAGAGGCCTGAGGATGAAGCAGATGCACCCCAGCCATTCAAGCCAAGCGACAAGCGCAGTGATTGTGCAGGAGACGGAATCGATCCTCATTCATGTGAAAAAAGTAGCGCTCCTGGTTGATAAACCACATGGAGGGTGCACTACACACTCCAAAAGGAGAAAGAACAATTATTTGACCAAATGAAGACGGTGCAAGGCCGCGCGATGAAACTGGAGTGCGTGTGTGAAAGACTGATGTACCAGACAGGATGATGTGGGGCTAAACAGAACCTATCACTGACATAGGCACAGCTAAAGGCGCGTTATAACCCAAAAAGATTTAAGCAAGAGTTGAATGAAGAACTTGTATCCGTCCCGACCGATGCTTCGCCACAAGATCTCGCTTCGCACAGTGAACAGATTGATGTGAGCCGCATCTTCCCACTCCGTACAGCCCATTCAGTGAATGTGCTCCAACCGGCGATGTCTTCGGATCCGTACATGGTGTTTCACAAGCGGGACCATTGTGCCAGTGATGTTCCCAAAACACTCCGCCTCTAAGCATCAATGCGGTGAGCACTCCGGAAACTGAGACCATCATCGGCTCGGGGCTACAGCTCGGCTACTAGGAAGTGGAGGCCAGGACCTCCTAACTACCTTACTGTACGTTACTAGTTACCTGCAACTAGTTACCATGGTGCATTGCAACAATGGTTTCAAGTTGCCTATCTCAGCGAGTTGTATGAGAGACTGAGTCGTAAGGGGCACAGTGGCAGAAAGACAAAGGCCATTGTAGCAAACGTGATGAACATAGCTCTCCATTCGCGAGCCGGTGACAGCTCTAGGAAGTTTTCGCTTGGGGATCAGGGCACAGGGGTGGACAGCTACACCTCCGATGAGTGCCAGTATTAGCGGTATGTGGAGGGGCTCCTCGGTCGAGCATTTGTGAAAGACACAGCGAGACCGGAGATGATGGATACCGAACCGATGTCGCGATTCAAAAATGAGAATGATGAATCACAGAATTAACTAATTCGGGTGTGTGAAACGCGCCCCCATTGAGTTTGTTGACAAGGAAGGTGAATGGAAACTGAAAGCCACAGACAAAATCTAACAGAAATGAAAATCCGCATCTGTGAGCCTGGAGCTTCGGAGGAGGCGCGGAGAGCGCGAACGTCAGGCTGATATATCGATGCGCCACATTCCCACGATGCATCCCGGCTGTTATGTTCGGAGTATGGTTCGCTTGTTCGCTTGGAACTTGCCGAATTTTTGCTGCCCCAACCCACTAGTTCCGCAAACTCAGTGGTGAAACCGTCCTAAAGTCATTTATGGCAGGCTACACAATGGGCTGCCTAGCGAATCATTTAGTCGGTTATAGCGGCTGGGAAGGCAAATCACCAAAACATTTTCATAGCCCCTGGCACAAATGCCCCCACCGGACTTCTTATTGACACATTCCGATTGATCACGGCTGCAATATGCTCATTCACCGCAGTATAGAGGTATTCCGATCGAGGGGCACTGCCGCCCGAGTCCACAATGGGGACACATCGCCCAGTGAAGCTTAAATAGCTACCAATCCTGCGACAGATGTCCGTCATCAAACAGAGAACTTGGGGCGCAACATAAGCTTCAGTCGCCTGCTTCAGTCATCAGTCAACGAGAACCCAGAAACTGAACATATGTCTAATCAGAATTCCCTTCACCCTGGTCAGGCTTGCCTTGAGTGCCGTCGTCGAAAAACCGTACGTATATCTAGTTGCAATTTGTCTTTGCACCCTAGGACTCACATTTGTGCTGTAATTGTAGAGATGTGATGGAGTTCGACCAACATGCTCCAGGTGCCAGCGTCTCCGAAAGGATTGCGTTTTCGAACCTGAAGCCCGACGACCCCAACTCGACCGTATGGAGGAAAGACTTCTAGAGCTGGAAGGCATTATCGGGGAACTGGCCCGACGGCCTGTCTCACTCAATCACGAACTTATCCGTAGGCTTATGCGCGATGATGTCCCCTCTACGGACCGAACCCCCGCCCACAGGCAGTTCTTTCCACTTTACTGCGACCCCCGAGGGTTTCCTCGGGCGGTGTGGTCACCGGCTCTGAGATGTCAGAGGGTTATGGAAGTGTCGTTCCGCGTGCCCTGCTAGATGCTGGCCTACAGCGCGTCACAGAAGTGGTGCCGCTGGAGCTGGCAGATGACCTGTGAGCCCACCGTACTCATGTTACAGCTGATCAAATAAACTTACTCACAATGTCATGCGAAGCACGCGGCTATTGCTGCCATTCAGGGGTCAATTCCATTTCTACGTTCATATCCCTCGGTTCCTTCATAAGATTCGTCTCCAGCCCTCTGATGCTCAGGCTGTTCACCCCGCTCTCCTCAATGCTGTTTTTCTGGCGGCGTGCAATGTCGGTGGTGGATTCATGGCCACCTATGAGACTCTTTTTCTCAACCGTACTCGTCATTTCCTCCAACAATCACTTGCCATGGCCGATCGCTTGGTCGACTTCATGTGGGCGAACGTCCTTCTTGTTTCTTACTATATCCGTGTAGGTCGAGTCGTTGAAGCGCACAACGCCCTTGCCTCTACGGTGCGCTTTGCCGTAGGTGCAGGTCTCCATGACGCATCCGAGGGTCAGACCGGACTGGCAATGCCTCCCGCTGATAGTACCGATAGAATGGAGAGAACCCATCTCTGGTATGCCCTCATGCTATGCGAAGCCGCCATAGGCGTAGGTGCTGGCTTACCACCTTCGGCCCCGCGCGAGGTGAGCGTCTTTCACTCACGCTTGAATAGTAAATGTATTCAGAGGCTGGACTATCCCAGCATTGCGCTTCTCTTGAGGCTCTCTTTTTCGGTCGGCAGATTCCAGTGAGTCCATTGTCGTCAGGACATCGGTCAGGTTGCATTGACCAAGGGTGTTCAGAGCGGCGCAGTGGAGATTAAGACGAAGGCCGCAGTCCTCCTTCACGAAATAAAGAATCTCATCGCCATCCCGATTGGTGAATCGAATAATCTCTCCTCTCTCTACCTCTCTTACTGTCATCCCTCAGGCCCCAACGGACGACCGTTGTCCGACTTCTCCCAGCGTTACAACACCCTAATCGCAGCGCATTCCACACTCCGTTCAGAATTGCCTTCACTTGTAGACCCTTGCGGCCTCCAGCCCACTGAGGCAGTATCTTATGCAAATCCGGACCTCGTACAAGCGCACTTGTCGTTTCATGTTTGCACCATTCTGCTTTTCAATATACAGACGTCGGGAAGTCAAAGTGCGGCCGCCAGCGAACAAGTCACTCACGCTGCCCATTCCATGGCGAATATTGCACTGCATGTCAGAAGAGGCGTGGTCCTGATGCCTATCCAGGCACATTTAACCTCTGTGGTACGTGATTTCCGGAAGCACTTTTGAGGGATTCGCGAAAATGATTTGCTCCTTTTTCTTTCTGTGACACATATGCAGTGGTATTACCATACGGCATGTGAAGTACTTATTCGAGAGATAAAACGCTTGACAACTGGTGGCTCCCCTGGACCTGAGGGGGCCGTGGAACAGACGGATAGAAGCTTGGCTGCCCTATTCGATACACTCCTAGATCTCGTTGATCTATATCCACGTTGGCGTACGTTTTTCACCTGCTTGCTACTTTTTATGGGGCCGCTTCGTGCTTACGGAATGTCTCACCGTCATAGAGTCCACTATTCGCAAGCTACCCCAGCTATTCGAGAGTGATGAGTATGATACCATTTAGGTAGAGGCTGTATGGGCCTGGCCTGTCAGCTATGTCCGGCCCCACAATCTGCTTTTTTAGTTCGATTTCAGTTTTCCGTTCGTACCAAACGGTAATTACCATTTTCGGGCATTTCTAAAGTGCCATTTTTGCACTTAGTGTGGACTCGATATCTTCTCACAAAATCCCATGTATAATTGATAATCTTTCGATAGAATAATATATCTCACCATGTCCGCTTCTACCTTGTTTTCGGTGCCTCTCTGCTGCTGATAAGCGCCCATGGTCTGGAAGACCAAATCCGAACGGGCCTCCCGCATTTCAAATCAAGAATCACGCTCAATTTCATATACTTATCCGATCGTGAGCACGATCAGCCTACAATTCCTTCCTCCTGATCAACTAAACAAGCGGGACACGTTTATGTAAGTGACAGGAGTCACTGTAGACGCTGGAGGCAGGTCTGACCCGTACCTGCTCTTTCAAGTATCAATTAGGGTGTGCAATATTCCCGAAGTCAATGCATCCTCGGAACGCTGTGCAGTTCGCACACTCTAGGGGAAGGCCCGCGCTTGAGGGATGCTGATTGAGTCACAATCACTCATACACATTAAGGCGCGGGTGCCATCCACCATGATTTAGAAGGTCGAGATGGTCAGGATTGAATCCCCCAAGGAGGGTTGAGCTCGATCAGTAGGTATACTAGGTATGCTCCGCCCTGATCGCAACGCTCTCCCCCGGGAATGAGACACTGTCGTCTAGTCGGGTCAATCAACCTTGTTTCAAGGGCGCCGGCACCGCGGCGCTGCAGAATCAGATGAAATTCTCCTATCGACTCGCTAACACGGCCAACCCTGCCGCGCTCCTAACTGCTGACTGCCACGTGTTAGTCCCGTGTCGGTACAAGGACTCTGATGCCAACATGAGAGCTAGGTCGCCATGGTGGGAAAGCTTGGCATGTGTTTGTGCTAATTCTAGGAGCGAGTCCTCTTCTTTTTTTCCTTGATGGCGCCGAGGATGTGCCCTCAAATCTCGTTAACCACTTAAACTTCCCATCAAATGATAGGCAAGTTACACCGAAATTACGAACTCAAATTGACTACAACCGGGTGCATGCTTTTCATGACAATCGACCCTCAAACTTGATCATTGCCTCCTCCTATGTTTGCGGCCTTTTCCCTGGAATTATCTTGGATATGCATCGCCCATAGCGGCCTTCATGCGATCGACGCGTCCACGCGTCCATGCGACTCCTGTTGGGGATGACCCAGAAACTCATGACAACGCCTCACTCGAGGCTTATATAGACGCATGCGTACCACCCACTGTCGCTATCTCTAACGAATCCTTTTTGTTGGTCTCCGCCCGAAGGCAGAAATACTCCTTCGACGTCAGTAACTGACTTGGGTGGTCTACGCTACACACGCCCCGCAGACGGAAATTTCCAAGTTTTTGGTGGATGGCAGCTCCATCGTCCAGTGTGCTTCCTCCTGGAACGGCTTGTGTTGAATGCCGCAGGAGGAAAACGGTTTGTGCTGCCCCCGATTCCTGTCTCTTGGCTCATTACTCTGCGCTGGTAGAGATGCGACGGAATTCACCCTGAATGCTCTAGATGCGCAAGACTAGGGAAACAATGCAGATATGAACCGCCAGACCGTCGTCCAAGAATTGACCGCATGGAGGGCCGTGTGCAGGAATTGGAAGAGAGACTCGAGGAACTCACGAGAAGACCTCCGCTGTTAGAGCATGAGCTCATCCAAAGACTTATGGAAGGGCCGAGACAAGTGGGTCGGACTCCTTTCGTCCGGCCGTTTTTGCCATTTTTCTCGGAGTCACCAAACACAACATATACTGGTCAATCTACCATTCTTCAATCTGGGCTCCAAGAGGGATACGGCAGCACTATTCCCCGTGCCCTTCTGGATGCGGGACTTCAACGCCTTCACCCGACTGCTGATGTGACGCCTGAGTTGAGTAATTACCTGTGAGTCATCATTTTCAGGATGGCTGCCACGTGTTTGCGCTTATCCTGACTCATAGGGTCCGCGTCCTTATCCCATCTCGCGGTCAATTTCACTTCTACGTAGATGTGCATCGGTTCATCTATCGCCTCCGTCTTCCTCCCGGTCATCCCTCCGCGATTCACCCTTGCCTTCTTAATGCAATCTACCTTGG